CACTAGCAACAGCAACATCATCATCGTCAATAAGATCAACAATCCCCTTGCAACAACAGCAACACCACGCCACTAGCAACAGCAACATCATCATCATCATCAACATCAATAAGAGCAACAATAGGCCCCTTGCAACATCAACAACGAGGCTGAGAAGTAACCGAAGCTTACGTGTTTTTTAACTGAATGTGCGTAAACTGACTTGATCTGATTTATCCGTCCATGATTGCTATGATTTCAACCTCTCGCCTCAATTGGTATTCAGTTATGTATATAATCAAGGCGGTCTAAGTCTTTGAGTAATTATAATGTTACACGACTTCTGTTCAGACTTTGACAGCTATTTTCCTCAGTCTTTTTCTCAAGAACTGAATTCATGCGGGCAGACAAAAACCAACACATCATCCATTTATTATATCGTACACGACTCGTACACACATGTGAAACCGACTAGTTGTATTTAAGAATAAATGTATAAAGAACTCTGCCTCCAACCAAATATAGTTCCATAGGGATAGATATATGAGATAGCATGTAAATAGCCCAAAAGAAGAAAATAATGTATGGAAATAACTTTAAGTTATAGACTGCTCTATTTGGTCCTTTCCCGCGCCTTGCACACTTATTACTTACCTCTTTCTTAGCCCCAAGCGACCACTCAAGCTAAGTCAACCACTGCTTTGTAATTATGGCCCTAACCAGTATTTTTTTCTTCATTCAATTGTGCACTTTGTTTCATATTTTCACAGAACATGGTATTAATGTCACATATTTTGTCCACCAGGACGCGTGGAGTTAGAGCGGTAACGATTTCAATACATGTCATTTCCTTCTAATAGATTTATCGCTGATTTAGGATCGATAAATATCAATTTGATTTATTATTCTCAGCCTAGAACCTGACCTATTGATACCATAATGTAGATACACGGTGTGTTAAAAAAGCAGCGAGAAATTCGAAATAGTTTGAAAAATAATGTTTTGATAAGAAAATTGGTCATCCAGATACATATGTAGATATTTTCAAGCAAAAAATTACCAAGACTTTTACTTCTCATGTTCAAGCTGGGCGAGTAATTATTTAGGGAATGTTAATCAACTTGAGTCAGTATTGAAAGAAAAACAGCAAATCACTAGCCATTTCTTTGTCGTTGAATAAATAGATACTGAACCCGAAAAAATGTGTATATTCTAGATCCAGCTGCCGATACACTTATGTAGATGTCTTAACTATCGAGCGAGCGAACGAAAGAAAAAAATCAATGTCAAGGAATATTACCACAAAATCATAGTAATGATTGAAGCAAAGAAAGATATGGAAACGTTCAAACGATTATACAGTGATTTCAAAGTTCGACGCTTGATTTAGTCCCAAGTTATTTGAAAGCCGGGGAGATGAAAAAAATATTTTGACAGCGAGAAAATCTACTTATCGGAGCAAACATTCGACGTTCACTGAATAAAACAAAACCGTGAGAAATAAAAAGAAGAGACGAACTAGAAAAAAGCAAATATGTAGGGAAAATATCTGAGATAAATATCGTCTATTTTCGAAAAACAGAAAACGGTATTTTTTAGACCGAGTTCACAGCAACATTCTGGCATGATTACAATTCAAAACAAACAACATGGAGTATGACAAACGTCAAAAATTATTGAACATTTACCTGAAGTTTCTTGGTGGATCCCCTTCACATTCCTAACTTCATATTCTCATTTCTTTGTTCTTGTCCTTGAAGTCTTTTGTGTGGATGAAGAAAATGTGAGTTTAAGCGAACGCAAGGCAGTTAAAGCTAAACTATTTGGCCAAACTCCTCTTCGCAGTTCCCTCCATAAATATCAAAACACTTCGACATAAACGCCGGCTTAATGAATTTAAAAATGCCGAGAGCATATATTCAGTCAACTAAATCAAAGTAAAGTTTTCCTGGCAGTGTTTTTGGGATTCTAGGCGTTTAAACCAAGAATTTCAGGTGTATTTGATGTAGTTCGTTTTCCTTAATGTTCGCCCACGCCATTCCAGTTTGACGTAGCAAACAATACTCTTGTCTCAAACTACCTCGATTATTCCTCAATCCGAAAAATATTTTAAATTATTCATTTTAGAAAACCGACAGCTGCAAGTCGGTAATTAAAATTCATCTCTTCTGCGATCCTCAATAACCCCTACAAATATCCGGTATTGTCGTATTGCAATCTACTTTCTTAAAGCTAAAAATCTTACACCAAGTGTAGGCAAAACAACATCTATACTCTTATCCTAAATGTAGTTCTTATAATCTTTACTTAATATTTCATTGTTTGAACAACATTTTTTTATTTCTCTTATTTTCAATCTAAATATTTTGTTTATTTTTCCTCTACATGAATTCTCTGTTGTTTGAAATTTGCTCCCGGAGAAGGAAAAGAAATAAAGAAATGCTTGTCATCAAAGTTCACTGCTTATCACTGCAAATCTATCCAAATTTTGACAGATGAATTTCTAAAAATTCCATTTTTGGTGATTTTAGTATTTATTTACTGTTGCTTCCAGTATTTCGATTGGTTTTGCCTTCTAAGTGCAGGAAATTACATTTGAAACGAAGATTGCTTGGTTTGACTTGTATCTTCAATCATTTGTCAATTTGTTTGTCTCGCATTTAAATAATGACCACTTTACTGGAGAGATGTGATGAAAAACACATCTTCAAACACTTTTTGTCAAGGACGCCATAGTTTAGAAACAGCCACGTACAAAACGAAATAACCAATTTTTTTTTCTTTCGTGAAAGCGAGTTGTTTTATTTTATTTTATTTTTTTTCGTGATAAAAAAAGAGAAAGAAAGAAAAGAAAAGTAAAAGGGGGAAGATGTTCGATGTTTGAATTTAGACGGGAATGGCCATCAATCAGTCTCCCTCCAAAAAGTTGATGTCGGATTCAATTGCATGATCGAAATGTAAATAGTATGAATAAATGTTGCTAATGGCGGGCTATATACACAGCCATACATATGATCTAATGAACGCAGCACCCAACAGTTAACCGGCTGAGATCTCGATTATGATAACAA